AAAAAAAAAAAAAAAAAAAAAAAAAAAAAAAATCATGCTATTGTGTTATATTTATAATTAAATCACTAACATTGGCGTAGTTAGACAATTATATATTTGTCGTACAAATGTATTTATTGATTGGGTCATGTAAAGTAATTACTTTCTTTGTATGTTTTAATTAACTGGTTAAACATAGTTCTATTTTGGTAGTTGCCTACCCGGTCTTTTTCATTGAAAAATACGATGCATATTGTTACCTAATTACGAAAATGAGTGAGCTTGTGACACAACTTGGCGTCAATAATTTTTTATTGTAATTACCTACTTACTCCGCGGTAATGAAAAAATTTCCGAAAATTCATATTTTTTTGTGGCAATGTAAATATTGTAATTTCACGTTTTTATAACACAAGGGAAATTTTTTTTTTTTAAATTTTTTAAATTTTACAAACCTGTTATTTAATAGTACAAATTTATAATTATTGGTTCAATTTCTAAGCCATGTTTAATAGTTTTATTTGCTTTTAAAAATAAATCCCTTTTTTTTTTTTATTTTTTCTTTCTTTCTTTTCTTTTCTTTTCTTCTTTCTTTCTTCTTTTTTCTTTTTTTTCTTTTTTGAAATAAATAAATAAAAAAAATTAACTAAAAATAAAAATAATATTTTTTTTCTTAAAAAAATTAGAGGCGATTTTTTTTTTAGTAATATTATCAAATCTTTTTTTTTTATTTCGATTTATTTCGATATCGATAAAAAAATCATGATAACAAAATTTCGAATTCATTTTTTAATTTATAATTTTTTTTTTATATTCTTTCTTATTCAAGAGATTTTTTCAATTGAAGATTCATCTAATCAAGGGTATTCTAATCTAAATCAAAATGATGATAAAATTCGATGTGGAAAAACATGTCTTGCTTCAATCGGTTCTGCTTGTGTTGTAATTGTTGTCGGTTCTGCTTTTGCAATTTTTCGATTTCAAAAGAAACATTCACGTCAAAAAACCGGTGATCTCGAAGAAATTGTAACTGTGAAATGTAAGCAAGTGAAAAAAATCGCGTTTTTAAATTATTCGTTTCTTTTTTTTTTTTAAAAAAAAAATTCTTTTTATTAAGATGAAGATGCGAATCCTTCTTTTGAAACGATAAACACTCAACCTGTTTTCCAAAATACTCAAGCTGCACAAGATCATACAAAAGCTACGTAAAGAAATAGTATAACGGTTATAACGCGTATGATTTTAAAAAAATTTTAAAAAAATTTAAAAATGTAAATAGTAAATAATGTATATAGTTTTGATCTCCTATAATGTAAAAAATTTGAATATCCTTTTAGTGCACGTGTACTGTACATAGCGGCTAAAGTATATAAATTTGTTCTAGTTTATCTAAATAAAGAATTTTTTTATTAAAAGATCCATTTTAGTTATTTGATATTCTTAGAAGCTTCCAATGAGTAATGAACTTTTTCCATTGGGGAATAGGTCCTTCCTTATTTATAACATTCCGATTGTTTCAAATATTTATTGTTTTACATATATATAATATGTATATTGTGTATCTTTGTGCATTGGATGATTGGAAGATTTCCAATAATTTTTATTGGAGTTAGAAATGGCACTAGAATTGGGCTAGAATTGGAAAGATTGGAAGTACAAGTCGCCTTCATGTCCGTTTTACTTACTGTTTTACTTAATTTAGCTAAACAAAGGAAAAGGGGTTTTTTTGATGCGATATCAGTTGTAATCACGCGGATTATAGTTTTATGTACTGACACGTTAATATGTATTAAAAATTTCGGGAATTCGAGCGAAGAAATCGTAGAATAACGCGATCGTTTACCACATAATTAATGTAATTTGAAATTCCCTTTCCCAATTTTCCAATTTTACAGGCAAAATGATATCGATTTTATTTTACAAATAATAAATAAATTAAAAATAAATTATGAATAAAAAAAAACATGATTAAAAAACATGATTAAAAATGATTAAAATGATTTTTTTTTCCTAATTACAAAATTAAAAATTGAATGTTTGTATTATGCGCATCCTGCATAAAAATGTACCCCTTCTATTTTGGTTAGTTTGGGGTTTGGGGTTAGGTTGATGTTAGGTTGAGTTTAGGACGTTGGAAATTCAAATGACCTCCTCAATCTCCTCAATCCTCATTCGTCATGTCACTCATGTGTCATGTGTCACGCCCTTCTATGTTTCGGGACACAAAAACAAATTCAAACCACATATAACAAACCCTGCATTTAAAAGTCCTTTTCTGTTATAAAAAAAAACTTCATTTCTTAATTACCTTTCTCTATCCAATAAGTTGCGGCTTCTAAATCTATTTCCACCCCTATACCTTTTTGATAACATCTGGCCACGTTTTGTTTTGCCAACTTGTATCCAGCATCAGCTGCTTGCTTATATAAATTAAAAGCTTTTTTGTGATCAGAACTAATACCAAGCCCCATCTCGTAACAAAATGCCAACATATTTTTACCACATAAATTCCCACCATCACTTGCTAATTTAAAGTATTGAAGCGCTTTGCTCTTGTTTTTTACAGTACCAATACTATTATGATAACATTCACCTAAACTTTGAAAAGCTGTAACGCATCCATTTGCTGCAGCTTTTTGATACCATTCAAAAGCCAAAATTTCATCTTTTACGGTACCTTTTCCATTAAGATAACAATATCCCAATAAATCTTGTGCGATAGCATATTGTTTTTTTGCCGCATTTAAAAATAATACAAAAGCTTTCCTATTAGCTATGGGTGTTCCTATACCATTCAAATAAAAATATCCTAAAAGAATTTCATATTGTAAACTTAATTGAGTCGTTAAGAGCCAATCAAATATTTTAGACTTTTCTTCTTCTTGATTTTCAAGAAATTCTTGAACAGATTTTAATAATGAATCACCTGGATCAACTTCATAAGTTTCCATAAATAATGATAATAATTCATCTATGATCTTTTTTGTTGGATCTTCTCTACGATCAGAAGTATTTGACCACAATCCTACTAGAGAACTTTGTGCATTAAATTGAAGTGGACTATATATGACACTTACGACACTTGTGGAATGTCTACGATTGTTTGGTTTTTTTGGACTTGAACAACGAGATGGTGATGATAAACGAGGTTGTGGTGGTGCTACCGTTTGTGCTCTACGTGAAAATTTTGGAGTATTTCTAGGAAGTGAAACGGATGAAGACCTTCTGGAGGCTCTCGGTTCTCTCGTCGTAAAATTAGGACTTATTGCTCTAGTAAGTGATTTTCTTGATGGACTTTTACTAACAGCTCTTCCTAATGGTCTAGATTGTCTGACTGGTGATTTTTCTTTTAATGTACTTAATTTCTTATTCGGACTTAAAGATCTATGACTTTCTGATTTTAATACAGAAGAATTAAATGATTTAGAAATAGGACTTTGATAAATGAGTGTTGAAGTTTCGGAACCAACAGGACTATTTATTCTCGTACTTTCTCCTTCCTCTTCATCTTCTTCAATAATTGTATCTTCAGGACTTTTAGATCTTAACCTTGGACTATCACGTTTCAATGGACTTGATGGACTTCTGGACCTAGGTTTTATATTAGGAACGGATAAAGTTGAACTTTGATTTTTGGTTATTATTATTTTTGATGGAGGTGTATTAACTTGAGGTTTTTGTGATGGCGGTGGTGTTGAATTAATTTGAGGTTTTGGCGGAGGTGTAACTTGAGGCTTTGGTGGTGGAGGAGTTGCAACAACTTGAGGTTTTGGCGGTGGTACAAATTGAGGTTTTGGTGGTGGAGGAGTTGCAACAACTTGAGGTTTTGGCGGTGGTACAACTTGAGGTTTTGGTGGTGGAGGAGTTGCAACAACCTGAGGTTTTGGCGGTGGTACAACTTGAGGTTTTGGAGGTGGTACAACTTGAGATTTTGGTTGTGGTGGAGTTGTAACAACCTGAGGTTTTGGTGGTGGTGGTTTTGTATCAATTTGAGGCTTTGGTGTTGGTGGAGTTGGTGGAGGAGTATTAACTTGAAGTTTAGGTGTTGGAGGAGTTGTATTAATTGGTGGAGGAGTATTAACTGGTGGCGGAGTATTAACTGGTGGCAGTGTTGTATTAATTTGAGGTCTTGTTGAAGATTTCACCGGTTTAGTAACAGGAGGATCAGGTAAAAGAGGTTCTTTAATTGAAAATCTTCTTTTCGGCGGCTTAACTTTTTTATTTTCTTGAACCATTGATGGATCTATTCCATCATCAAGTTTTTCAAGTGCTGATACAACTTCCAAAATATCAGGACGATCATCAGGTTCACTTTGCCAACATTCTAAGAGGGTAAAAAGGTAAAATAAATTTAATTAATATACGCAATTTACATAATTTTTGTAATTTTTGTGACAAAAAAAAAAAAAATTTCATAAATACTTTTATAAATAGGGATATAATCTTGATCAATTCCATCAATATCTTTTTCACGAAGACCTTCCATAATTTCTTTTTGTAAATCAGAATGTTCTTCATTACTAAAAGGTAATCTCATAGAGGCTAATTCCCATAAAAGAATCCCTAAACTATAAATATCAGATTTTTTTGTTAAAGTTGATTGTTTATCTTCACTACTTTTATAACTTGGTATTTTAAAATATTGTGGGTCAACATAAGTTAAATAATTTTGTAAATTAATTGATATATTTGAAGATTCTTCCATTTTACATGTAATACCTAATGCGTTTAATTTTAAATCTTGTTCATTAATTATTATATTATTGGAATGCTGTGGTGAAAAAAAAAAAAAAATATTGTTTTTTTAGATTTAATCGTTAAGATTAATATATAACGTTTTAAAAATTAATCGTAAAACTTACCAGATTTTTATGAATTAAATTTTTTTCATGTAAAAATTCTATAGCTTTAGAAAGTTGTCTTGCAAATTTTAATCTTACACTCCAATGTAAATTTTCCGAATTATTTTGTAAATATTCTCTTAAAGAACCACCATCACCATATTCCAACATTACCATATACTTTAATTGATTTTTATCTAAAGAAATGATTGGATCGAAAATTAAAAAATAAATAAATTATGACGAAATTGAATGACGTTGATTTTAATTGACTAATTGAATTAATCAACATTAATCAACATTAAACATTAAATTAACATTAAATAAACAATTTAATGAATGGTTAAATACATTACCGTTACTATCAGATTTAGTTATACCATAAAAACTGGAAATATGATCATTATTAAAAAATCGAATCTTTCTTAATAATTTAAGCTAAAAGAGAAAAAGAAATTAAAAGAAATTAATTTTTTTTTTAAATTAATAAAAATTTCCTTTTCCATTTCCTTTTTCTTCTTTTTCTTGATAAAAAAAAAAAATCTCGCAAATCTCAGAATCAAATTTTTTACCTCGGATTGAACTTCTCTTGTAGATAATTTATTTCCAATATATTTCATAACAACCATAATTTCTTCTTCATCCTTTTTCATAATAGCTTTATAAACTTTACTTGATCCAATTTGTTCAACATTATTAAGATCTTTATAATCATAATAATTATATTCTCCGTTCGCTAAACCTTGTTCTATCCATTCTACCCAAACTTTTTGTGTGAAGAATGCCATATAATAATGACTTTTCTAATTAGAAGAGTTAAGAGAAATTAGAGATTTTTTTTTTTTTTAAGGGATATTTTGAATGTCGAAAGAAAGGGGTTAGTTAAAAGAAACAATACTGATTTATGATTTTCTCGGTTTATGTAACTGGTAACACGAATTAATCAAGTTTCAATCAAGTTTACAATTTAATAGGTAATGATTTTCCTTCATTGGTTTATATATATTACTGTAACCCATTTTAACAATCAACCTTGCCTTTGTTTAACTTAATATCAAACATTAAAACGGAAATTTTTTTAACAAATGATAAAATAATTTAAAATGATTTAAAATGTTGTAAAAAAATAAAAAAAGAAAATAAATAATGAGTAAACAAGTAAAAAAAAGTTATTTAAAGATTTGGAAAGAATGACCAAAATAAGAGATTATAATAATAAAATAAACAAAAAGTGAGTTGGGAATTGGGATCCTGTTTGGGATCTACTATAAATATATTAGAAAACCTTTCCAAATTTGAATAAGATATACCATTTATAAGAACATTTAAATAATAATGATACACTTTATAAAGAAAAATATCAAGATAATGTTCATGACAGCATAATGATGCATGTACAGTACTTGTATACATAATGAAAATTATTTTTTTTACTTGATTTATTTTAATTCGATCCTTTTTCCTTAATAATTATTACAAAGAAATACAAAGATATTTTGAGTTCTTTTTTTACAAAAAGAACTTTATACGACTTTATACGATAATTTGATACTGTACTAACTTGATACTTCTGTATATGGTATATATAATTATAATAATATATGGTATACTCTATGGCGTAAGTGTAATACTGCGCCGAAAATAATATTATTTTGATTATGATATTAAAAATTATATTTTTTTTAAAAAAAAACGTACTAAAACTTATTAGATTAAATTACGCAAAAAAAATTACTAATAATAAAATAAATTTAGGCCATATCAACAAAACCAAGTACACAAGAAAGGTAACTCTGGTCCGCATTTTTAACTAAAAAAAAAAAAAATGATATTAATCATTTTAATCATTTTTAATCATTTTTAAATCATTTTACTTACTTGAAAAAGCCATCGAATATTTATGAATCGTAGTAGCCGTTTGATTAGTAGTTGTTGCAGGGGTTGCGGTTGTTGGACCGTTAAGAGGCATAGGAAATGACATATTGATCTGACTGTCTCCTGGTCCTAAAGGACAATTTATTCCAACGGAATTACCACATAAATCTACATTAGATTGAAGTACGGAAAGTCCGTCATCTCTTTGAATCACAATTTCGCAAGTAGCTCCGATATTAATTGGTACGGTACGAAATCCTGTAAACTTTACGAATACTTGTTGTCCATTAGCTAATTTGTCTGGACTAACTAAAAAATTATCAATTTTATTGGGATAAATTCCCTCACAAGAAAGGAATGGTCCATGTCTTTTTATTATTGGAGTCGAACTGACGATAATGTTATTGAAAATTAAGAAAATGGTAAAGAACAAAATCACAAATTTAGTCATTTTGTGAATGAGAAGATGTTAGAAAGTAATATGAAAAAAAATCCTTTTTAAAAGAAATTCTCCGAATTTTAAGGGGGCGCTTTTGTTGACAGTGTAAATTTGATACATAAGTTATTATTAAGTTCTTTCCTGCATATGAGCGTATCCGTTCGATGCATACTGTATGTGTTCCCGGTTGTATCTAGTATTTATTATTATTATTATACGATAGCCACAAATAAATTTTAATGCAGTTTCAATTTAAAATTAGAATATTCTTTCGAAACGTTTTATTTTTTTTTTTATTTTTTATATTTTTTTTTTTTATTTTTTTTTTTTTTATTTTTGTAATTTTATTCTTCTGACCTCAAACCACGCCTGACGCCACCAATAAATTTACCACTTCCCTCCTCCTTTGTCGTGGTTACTACGCCACCAAATAAATTTACTGCGGTCAACTTTTACCAAAGATTATTATTAAAATTTTGTTCTTTTTGTTCTTTTACAAAAGTAATATAATCAGATACATCATCTAAAAAATCCAAATCTAAATTATAAGGATAATCTAAAGAACTAAAAAATCTAATCTTTTGACAATTAATATTATCTTTTTTATATTGCATTAAAGTTAAAAATAATTCTTCTTGAATAATATTATTATTATAAATTATATCTAGATTAATTAAATGATGACATTGTTTTAAAAAATAATCTAAATTTAAATAATACATATTAAATTCTAATACTAAATGTTGTAATGATAAAGGGAAAGATTTTGATATATTAAATAATGATTCAAATATTATAGATTTTTTATTGATTTCCCTACTCGATAATTTTAAATATTTTAATTGATATAATTTTGTAAAAAGATTTGATAATAAAGAAATAATATAATTATAATTATCTAATGAAATTGATATTGATAAATGAGTAATTTGTGGACAATATTTTATAATTGATTCAAATATTATAGAATTTGAACTACCATCTAATATTAATTTACTTAAATTAATATTTGAAGATTTAAGAATTTTTGAAATTAAAGGATCAGGTTCATAATTTTGTCCAATAAATAAATTTTTTATAGATAATTGTTCTAATTCTATATCTGAAGGTGTAAGAAAATCCGATCCTCCCAATAATTCCAAAGTTTCTAAATTTTTCCATAATGATAAACCTCTTCTAAAATGATGATCCGAATGAGTTAATTCCATTAAAGTTAAATGTGTTAAAGTATTAGATTGTCGTGTTAATGATTCATATAAACAAATTTCTGATTGGTCCCAATAATAATTTGATATAAAAATTTTCAATTTCGTTTGTGATTCTATTAATTTACATAAACTTTGATGAAATCTTGTCGTTAAACGTCTTTCTTCCCATGGTTCTCTAAAATCTCTTGGAACTTCTATTCTAATCTTTTTTAAATTAATAGCAATCTCCGACATTTTATTTAAAAGTTCCGTTAATAAAAAATCTTCCATTTCCCAATCTCTATTATAACTTAATTTTTTAACAAAATCAAGTTCAAAAGTTGAAAGATTTTTTAATGAATTTGGATTTCTTTGTATAAATAAATGTAATTCAATATTCATTTTATATCTATTATCTAAACAAGTATTGATTATTAAATTTTTAAATGTAACATATTGATTAAATAATAAATAAAATATTTCTTTTGCTAAATAAGGATTTGGATATGTTGAATAATATTGTTTTAATATTGGTTTAAAACATTTATTTATAGATTTATCAAAATTATTTTTAGGATAAATAATATAAAATCCTTTAAATAATTTTATCTGTTTTCTTAATATATTATTAAATTTATTTTTTGATTTATTTGAATAAAAATATTGTGGCGTTGTTGTACTTGTTAAAAATGTTTTATTAAGTGCTCGACAAAATTTTTGTGTATTGAATTTTTTTAAAAATATTGGATAATCAAATAATGTTTTTTCATATTTTGGTAATTTGATTCCTCCTATTCTAAATCTTTTTTTACTTTCTTTTGGTAAACATGATATGTAAGTTCTTATGATTTTATGTGTTGATGTTTCGTCAACTAATTCAAATGGTTGACTCCATAATAATGGAATCGTATGTCGACACCAATATCGATTAACCAATAAACACGAATAAAGTGAATATAAATCATCTTCGAGATGTAATAAAATATTTTCTAAAAAGTTCATTAAAATATAAATAAAATAAAAATAAATAAATGGAAATATGTTGTATGACAATTATAATATAACCGTAATATATATATAACTGTTAATATAATATAACGATTTTTTTTTTTAATAATATGAATTNGTTCTTATGATTTTATGTGTTGATGTTTCGTCAACTAATTCAAATGGTTGACTCCATAATAATGGAATCGTATGTCGACACCAATATCGATTAACCAATAAACACGAATAAAGTGAATATAAATCATCTTCGAGATGTAATAAAATATTTTCTAAAAAGTTCATTAAAATATAAATAAAATAAAAATAAATAAATGGAAATATGTTGTATGACAATTATAATATAACCGTAATATATATATAACTGTTAATATAATATAACGATTTTTTTTTTTAATAAAATTAATTGTTTACTTCTTTTTCATTCATAACATTGCATAAAATCATTTTTTGGTCAAGTTCATCATCATCGATGCATTTTGCGAAACATTTTTTACATTTGTAATATACTCTTTTCGTATAAATAAATTTCTCTTTATTAAAAAACTCCGCTTATAAAAATGATATTTACGGTAATATTACGATACGATCTCTCATTTGTGGCGTAATCTTGTTACACTTGTAAGAAAAAAAAAATCTTGTTAAATGAATTTATCGAAATTTTTTTGATTTTTTTTTTTTTTAATTTTCTTAATTAGGTTGAATTTTTTAAAAAAAATTCACGTGATTTCATAAGTTTTTCGTGTTCATTTTTTTCTTTTTTTGGGTGTCATGTAAGCCGAATAAACTCTAATCCAAATAAAGTCTAGACAATGAAAAAAAAAAGCGGTGGTTCCGCTTTGGTTATTGTAAGAAATGTAAGAAACCGGTTAGCTATTCATTATACCTATCAAAATTAGTAAATCTGAATGAGTTTTGCGAATGCATCGGTAAAAATCCGAATAAGAATTTTGCATATCGTTTTTGTTATTTATTCTTGAGATTTTTTTTAAGATTCTTTTCACATTTGTTTCTAACAAACTGCTTAAAAAAAAAAACAATTCCTCATGAGTTATGAAATTGAAGTAGAACGTCAAATAGATGAAAAATATGACGTTGATAACCCACATGAAAAACGTGATAAAGATGAAATTGTGCCGCACAACCCACGCGACTCGAACAACGCGCACAATGGAAATCAAGTATCTTCAGTATCTTTATCTCCTAACGGTAAATATGTCGTCACATATAGCGAAGATGATAAATCAATTGAAGGATGGATTGTAAAAGATTCTAAACTGATCCTAGATCCTGAAGCAAGTGTTTATAAATTACCAGAAGGATCAAAGAATATTTCTGAGATTAAAGTAAATGATGGTAAAATTGTTTATATTGCGTACAATATAATAATTCAAATGTCAAATAAACATCAACAAATTAAACTTAATCCTCCGCCTGAAGGGTGGTGGGAATCTAAGAAGATTAATTTCAAAAAAAATGGTGATTTTATAAAATTCAGTAGATATGAAATATTAATTTATCGTTCTAAGCATGATAAGATGAGTAATGAGCTAAGTTTAGTGTCATTTTATGAACTATCATCACTATCATCACTCTACGAAGTAATAAAAGAAGTGCTTATTGATGATGATAATATATGGGTTATTTCTCCAAATTATTTATTTCATTGGGACATGAAAACATTTCAATTGAAATTTAGTTATTCACTTGAGTTTACGACCGAGAATTCTCAGTATGATAAAGAATTTACAGTAATACATAAAGAAAGTTTAATCGGGATAAAATATTATGGTGAAATTGCAATTTTTTTAAACAATGTACATTTTCCAATTCGAAATATTCAATTAAAGAATCCTGATATGAAGATAGAATTGTGCCAAGTACAAAATAATACTTATCTTTTGGCTTTTAATATACCTAAAAAAGACGAAAAACAGGATATAATCTTGTATAGTATAACTGATATCAATAAACAACAGCCCATAGATGCATCAACGATTTTTAATGATGAAGATCCCGAGAACGACTTCAAAAATAAGTTTATCCTTTATGAATATAATTCAGAATCAAAGGAAGCATTTGGATTAGTTGATGGAAAATTTACATATATTAATTTATTAGATTTAAATTTGCATGAATTTTTTGAATCTCATAAGGAAGATGATGATTTAGTTGGTTGGAATGATTACTTGGGTCAACCTTTTTACTATAATGATACTTTAGCTTTCCCTGACATGGAAAATATTAGATCTTTACTTTCTGAATCTAGGAAAAATATGAGTGAATGTGAAAAGAAAAGTATTGTAACTAAAGATATAAACTTCAATAATCAAAAATATAAATGGAGAATAGAACTGAAAAACGATAAACCCGATTTAATTAATAAACTCATCAAACTCGATAAACTCTCAGTTTATTCAGATGAAGAAGAACTGAATAAAGAAGAATTTCTGCGTTCAAAAGATTTAGGTATCATGTTGACGACGTTGAACTGGAAAATTCTTAACAATAATGCGTTAGCATTACGATTTAACGAAGAATCTATAATAATATACGAGTATGATATCCATAACAAACGTATTAAAACTCAATACTTTATTAACAAAGAGGAAGGACAAATAGATTTTTCTGGATCTATATTACCGATGATAGATACGATAGATATAGCAAACCTCGATAAAGATGAAAATGATAATGGTAAACAACTTTTCACACAATTATCAGAAAGTATCGTTAGTATCATTGAAGACGAAAGATGTCTTGCGAAATATGGACCAACTTTATTACCAATTTTAATAGAGTCGTCTGTTCCAAAATTAACTCGTTATATAGAAGATATTTTTAATAAATGCACAAAACTTGTTAAAGATGATCCAAACAGAAATCTAAGATTTCTGAATATTATAACATCATCAATGAATGATTTATACAAAAAGTATCCTGATTACATAACAAAATTTAATTCTGAAATGTTTATGATTTTAAACCCTTTTAACGAAGGAATTGGGAATAAATATCATTCACATTTTAGTGCTTTTAGCCAAGAAGTAGAAATTCGTAAAGTATATCAATCTAGTATTTTTAAATATATTAGACGTATTATTGAAAACATATTTATATGTATTTTGTATTTGACTATTTTCATTTTATATTTGACTATTTTCATTTTACTTTTACCATTTACAATTACATATATAATTATTTTGTTAATTGTAAATCTAAGAGAACTTCCTAATATTCTGTTAAATATTCCTAGAATACTGAAAAGATTACATAACGATACTCTTAGAAAAATTTTAAATTATGAGCGACTACACAAACAACAAATTGTTCTTATCATACCCTATATAAATTATTCTCATTATCCTTTAAAATATAGTTTCTGGAAGGAAATATTTTATCCTCAATCAAGTGTTTTTACTGATACTTGTGTAAAGGAATTTTACTCAAATTGGAATGGTGAAGCAATTATTAATTTTAAATGGAAAACATTTGGAAGGATATATTATTTTATTATTTGGTTATTATTTATGGTTTTTCTTGTGTGTTTTACAATTGCTTCTTATCCTACAAATTCTATAACTCAAGAAATTCGTATTAAGCTATATCAAACTACAATTGCTTTTGGATTTTATCATCTCTTGTTTGAATTAAGACAATTTATCTGGAATCCAAAAAATTATGTTTTAAGTATATGGAACTTATTTGGTAAGAGCATCTTACAATTAGTTCAAATTTATTAAGCTTAAACTAACTTTCTTTAAAAACCCAGATTTAAGTGCGTACCTTTCTGCTACTATTGCATCAATTTATTGGATTAAATATGATGACACACCAGACTGGGCATTATCAATTTCATGTTTATTATTAGATTTAAAATTTTTACTTTTCTTTAGAATATTTGAATATTTCGGAGTTTATTTTGCAATAATGTTTGGAGTGGCTAAACGTGTATTTTCTTTTTTAGTAGTATTAGCAATTATTATTGCAAGCTTTGCACATGCTTTTTTTTTACTTTTACATCCTCAATATCTTTTAGATTCATTAATTGCACAAAATCCAAATGATCCAAATAATCCTTGGACTCTTTCTAATACTTATAATCAAGTTGATGAAAATGGAAATATCTTAAAAGAAACTCTTATTCAAGTTCCTAGTGAAAATACCAATTTATTTTATTCATATCCCACGTCTCTTCTTGCGACATATTTATTTTTAACAGGTAACCCGTTAACATTAATTAATATTTATCATAAATGTAACTTATACTAACTTAAACCTGAATTTTAGGAAATCAAAATTCATTATCACCTTGGGCACCAAATCCAATAACTGAAAATACAATTTTATTTTTTTTTATGTTAGTATTTTCATTCTTAATTGTTATATATTTAATGAATTTATTTATTGGTCTCCTTAATATAGCGATTGGAGAGGATAATGATAGGGCCTCGTATTTAGTACAAAAAGCAGAAGTTATAGCAGAAATTGAACTTTTTTATTTATTACCTCATCAAAGACGTTGGAGAACTTGGTTTCCCGAAGTAATGTAAGTATTTATTTATTTATCTTTTTTTTTTAAAAAAAAAAAGAATACTGACTAATAATAACTTTTTTAGTTCTTATAAAGTAGATATTAAAAAAGCTCGGAAATACATTAAGGAAGCAATTAAAAATGGTGAATGGAAAAGGGATGATTTGTCTGATAAAATTTTAAAGCTACTTAGCATCGAAGATGCTATTAAAGATTAGAATTAATTTTAAAATCAATTTTTTGTTTTTAAAGATTTTTTGTATACATCTAAATATATTTTTGTCTTTAATTTTTATCTATTATACATAAATAAATACTGCAAATAAAATATTTTGGCGTCTTGGAGTCTTACACAAAGCGTAGCAAATTTATTACGTAATTAAGATATTATCGATCCGCAGTGTAAATTAGCAGACATTATCTGATTTTAATATTATTAGAACTCCCTTTTTTTTATCAGGAGATGGACCACTAATTACGCGGAGCTATCAAGTTTAATATTCGCGCATATGACCAATCAATGCAAATCAGGTGTATGATTGCCAATCAAAACCCCAGAACAGGTATAATAATAAAGCGGGACGTCATTTCATAGTTGCCCTCGATATAACGAATTCAGCGTTGGCCTTCGTAATAGAAAGGTTCGGTAACGTTATAACGAAGTACACAGGCAGTCTCGATAAACCGGGCTCATCCGCTTCTATATATCGAAAATAAATACTATAGTAATCAGCCCCGATATATCGAAGGATCCGGTTTATCGAAGATCTGATTTATCGTATATCATAGCGAATAATCGGTACCACTAATCCACAATAACATTTTCATTATGTATACCGAATATTCGATTGATACAAATTATGATATTTAAATTCTACTTTATTATATTTTATTTAACGAAAATTAGGCCACTTTGAATTCCTAATTACTGATAAATGATAATAATGATAATTTTATTCAATTGGTATTACTATGAACACATCAACTTTATGATGTGTGGCTATTACATTGAGAAATATTTATCCATGAGTCTAAGTAGAGTGTGTTTTCTATAATATACAATACTGTTGCTATGTTGCTATGTCTGTATTAAATGTTGTACTAACTACCGAACGTTTTAATTAATAAAAATATTTCATGCCTTTATACATAGTAAGATTATTTAATCGCAAAAATTCTATGGTATATTCAGAAAATACGATATAAAAAACACCCTTTATAACAAATTTATTTCACACTTCGATAAATAGTAAATATTGTACGGAATATAGTTGGTTTACTACGCTGAAGATCTGCTATGTGTCTATAAAAAGGCTGATTATATATTTGATGATTAAAAAGAATTCGGATGTTAAATATCTGTTTTCTTAATATATTACTAAATTTATTTGAATAAAATATTGTGGTGTTTATAGTACTTGTTAAAAATATTTTATTAAGTGCTTGATAAAATTTAAATATTGGATAATCAAATAATGGTTTTTCATAATTTGGTAATTTGATTCACCCTATTCTAAATCTTTTTTTTTTTTTGTTTCTTTAGGTGAACATGATAAGTCTAATAATTTTATGTGTTGATGTTTCTTTAACTGATTCAAAAGGTTGATTCCATAATAATGGAATTGTATGTCGACACCGATATCGATTAATCAATAGAAATGAACAAAGCGAATATAAATCATCTTCAAGATGTAATAAAATATTTTCTAAAAAGTTCATTAATATAAACTAGGAAACGGAGATCGTTATGAGTCCGAAGCGAAATTTATATTTTTTATTAACCAATAAACAAAGATAATAAAAGACGATGAAAAATGGGAATGAAGAAGGAATGAAAATAAAGAAAGGGATGAAGATCAAAGTCGAAATTAACAAGATCAAGAAAAGATCAAGGCAAAGCCCATAAAGAAATGGATAAAAAGAAAAAAGTGCGTTCACAAACTGGAAGAACTTAAATACTTAAAAAGAAAAAATAAAATTAGAAAACAAAGGGTAAATAAAACAAAATAAAGAATAAAAAAATGTATCTTTGTCGCAAAACTGAAGAACATAAGGACATAAAAGGAAAACGAACCGTTAAAAATAAAAACTATGGGTGCAGACTTTTTCTTTTTTTAGCTACATCACTCCTTAAGTCAATGAAAGGTTGTAACTCGTGAGTCGTGATATAAATTATTATAAAATTTCTCTGTGATCATCTGCAGTGACGTTATTGTAACTTTGTTACGGCAGTTACGTCGGTAAAGTTGCACCTCTAATAAAAACAGACGTCGGAGAAAACGAAATTATTTAATTATTTTGATTATCGATCTAGTTATTTGGAAAAAGCAGGGGAAACGTATAGGGTGACGTAGATGGAAGGAAGGAATATTGCATATTTGCATGGGTTTACGATCAAATCGTCCTTAAATAATGTATGTGTGACAATATAACCGTAATATACCGTTTTATATAAATAAATTTTTTTTCGGCATATACAATGAAACAATATATGAAGAACTAAAAAATGCATTGTTTCTAATAAAAAAAATTTATTTATAAAATTTTTTTGATAAAAAATATTCATAGCATTACATTAATCATTTTTTGGTCAAGTTCATCATCATCGATGCAATTGATAATATATTCTTTTCGTATAAATAAAAATTCTCTTTATTAAAAACTCCGTTTACAAAAATGATATTTACGGAAATATTGCGATATTGATCTCTCATTTGTGGCGTAATCTTGTTACACTTGTAAGAAAAAAAAAATCTTGTTAAATGAATTTATCGAAATTTTTTGATGAATACGAAAAACTTATGAAATCACGTGAATTTTTTTTTTAAAAATTCATTTTTTTTCTTTTTTTGGGTGTCATATATAAACTCTAATACAAATAAAGCCTAGACAATTAAAAAAAAACGGTGGTTCCGCTTTGGTCATTGTAAGACATGTAACCCTATAAAAAAAGTCTCTAATCCAAATAAAATATAGACAATGAAAAAAAAAGGTTGTTCCGCTTTGGTCATTGTAAAAAGTTTGTGCTAAAGCCAAATGGGTTAATCATACGATATTTGTTTAGAATTTGTTCGAATTTTATATTATTTTTTTTGTACAAATTTCGGATAAATGTTCCAACCTTTTTATAGGGTAAGAAACCGGTTAGCTATTCATTATACCTATCAAAATTAGTAAATCTGAATGAGTTTTGCGAATGCATCGGTAAAGATCTTAATAAGAATTTTGCATGTCGTTTTTGTTATTTATTCTTGCGATTTTTTTAAGATTCTTTTCACATTTGTTTCTAACAAATTGCTTAAAAAAAAAAATCTTCATGGATGATGAAATAATTCAAATAGATTATGAAAAAGATGGAATATATGACGTTGACAACTCACGCGATCCGCACAGCGGAAAACAAGTATCTTTAGTATCTTTATCTCCTAACGGTAAATATGTCGTCACATATAGCAGAGATGATGAATCAATTGAAGGATGGGTCGTAGAAGATTCTAAACTGATCCTAGATCCCAAAGCAAGTGTTTATAAATTACCAAAATACTGGACGTGTATTGAGATTAAAGTAAATGATAGTAAAATTGTTTATTTTGGGAATATAATATATGAATCTGAATATGTGTTTAAAATCTTTCGAATGTCCAACGAAAATCAGCAAATTAAACTTAATCCTCTGCCTCCTGAAAGGTGGCAGGTACTTGAGAATATTAATTTTAAAAAAAATGGTGATCTTATACTATCCAATAGATATGAAATATCAATGTATGATAAGGAGCTAAGTTTAGTGTCATTTTATGAATTATCATCACTATTATCAGACAACGAAATAATAAAAGAAGTGCTTATTGATGATGAGAATATATGGGTTATTACTCTAAGTTATTTATTTCATTGGGACTTGAAAACAGTTCAATTGAAATTTAGTTATTCACTTGGGTTTACGACAACTTATAAAAATGAAAATACTTATGAAAAGTCCACAGTAATAACTAAAGGAAATTCAATCGCGGTAAACTATAGTAATGAAATTGCAATTTTTTTAAAAGATGATGATTATCCAATTCGAAATATTCAATTAAAAGGTACCAACATAAAAATAGAATTTTGCGAAGTACAAAATAATGTTTATCTTTTGGCCTTTAATATACCTGAAAAAGACGAAGAACAGGATATAATCTTGTATAATATAACTGATATTAATAAACAACCCATAGATGCATCAATGATTTTTAAGAACCATAAGTTTATCCTTTACAAATATAATTCAGAATCAAAGGAAGCATTTGGATTAGTTGATGGAAAATTTCCAAGTGTTAATTTGGTTAATTTGCCAGATTTAAATTTGCATGAATTTTTTGAATCTCATAAGGAAGATGATGATTTAGTTGGTTGGAATGATTACTTGGGTCAAACTTTTGAGAAGTATTACTATAATGATACCAATAATGATACTTTAGCTTTTCTTGATATGGAAAATATTAGATCTTTACTTTCTGAACCTAGTAAAAATATAGAAGATTTATTTTCTGATGAACCTAGTAAAAATATAGAAGTTTTATTTTCTGATGAATATGAAAATAAAAATATTGCAACTAAAGATATAAACTTCAATAATCAAAAATATAAATGGAGAATAGAACTGAAAAATGATAAACTCGATAAACTCGATGAGGATGAACTCGGAAAACTCGATAAACTCTCAGTTTATTCAGATAAAGAAGAATTACTGTGTTCAAAAGATATAGGTATCAAGTTTACCAAGCTTGCGACGTTGAACTGGAAAAGTCTTAACAATAATGCGTTAGCATTACGATTTAAAAATTATTATTATGGTGAATCTATAATAATATACGAGCATGATATCCATAACAAACATATTAAAACTCGATACTTCAATTATGGACTAAACATTAAAGATTTTTTTGGACCTATATTACCGATAATGGATATAAAAAATATAGCAGACCTCAAAGAATATAATATAGAAGATAAACAATATTTCACACACTTATCAGAAATTATCATTAGTATCATTAAAGACGAAAGATGCCTTGCGAAATATGGACCAACTTTATTACCAAATTTAATAAAGTCGACTGATCCAAAATTGACTCATTATATAGAAAAGATTTATAACAAATGCATAAAACTTGTCAAAGAAGATCCAATAGGAAATGTGAAATTTCTGAATACTATAACATCATCTATGAATTATTTATATGAAAAGTATCCTGATTATATAACAAAATTTAATTCTGAAATGTTTATGATTTCATTTGACGAAAGAATTGAGGATAATTATCATTCACATTTTAATGCTTTTAGCCATAAAGTAGAAATTCGTAAAGTATCTCAATCTATTAAATATATTAGAAATATTATTAGATTTATTAAAAACATATTTAGATTTACTGCTTCAATTTTAATTTTACCATTTACAATTATATATTTAATGGTTGATGTTATTAGTCATCCAAGAGAAGTATCTTCTAAAATGTTGTTAGATATTTTTAGTAATTTGTTAGGCAATTCTAGATATTTGTTGCATTTTATTTATAACATTTTTTATATGAAACAAAGCAAACAACAAATTGTTCTTATCGTACCCTATATAGGTTTTTGTCATTATCCTTTTGAATATAGTTGGTGGAAAGAAATATTTTATCCTCAATCGAGTGTTTTTACTGATACTTGTAAAAAAGAATTTTATACGAATTGGAATGGTGAAGCAATTATTAATTTTAAATGGAAAAAATTTGGAATGGCATATTATATTTTTATTTGGTCAATATTTATGGTTTTTCTTGTGTGTTTTACAATTGCTTCTTATCCTACAAATTCTATAACTCAAGAAATTCGTATTAAACTATATCAATCTTCAATTGCTTTTGGATTTTATCATCTCTTGTTTGAATTAAGACAATATATCTGGAATCCGAAAAAATATGTTTTAAGTATATGGAACTTATTTGGTAAGAGCATCTTACAATTAATTTAGTTCAAATTTATTAAGCTTAAATTAACTTTTTTTAAAAACTCAGATTTAAGTGCGTACCTTTCTGCTACCATTGCATCAATTTATTGGATTAAATATGATGACATACCAGACTGGGCATTGTCAATTTCATGTTTATTATTAGATTTAAAATTTTTACTTTTTTTTAGAGCATTTAAAAGTTTCGGAATTTATTTTGCATTAATATTTGGAGTAGCTTATCGTGTATTTTCTTTTTTAGTAGTATTAGCAATTATTATTGCAAGCTTTGCACATGCTTTTTTTTTACTTTTACATCCTCAAGATCTTTTAGATCCATTAAGTGCACAAAATCCAAATGATCCAAATAATCCTTGGACTCTTTCTAATACTTATAATCAAGTTGATGAAAATGGAAATATCTTAAAAGAAACTCTTATTCAAGTTCCTAGCGAAAATACCAATTTATTTTTTTCATATCCCACCTCTCTTCTTGCGACATATTTATTTTTAACAGGTAACCGTTAACATCAATTGATATTTATCATAAGTGCAACTTATACTAACTTATAAACCTGAATTTAGGAAATCAAAATTCATTATCACCTTGGGCACCAAAACCAACAACTGAAAATACATTATTATTTCTTTTAATGATAGTATTTACATTCTTAATTGTTATATATTTAATGAATTTATTTATTGGTCTCCTTAATAATGCGATTGAAGAGTGCAATGATAGAGCCTCGTATTTAGCACAAAAAGCAGACGTTATAGCAGAAATTGAACTTTTTTATTTACTACCTTTTCAAAGACGTTGGAGAGCTTGGTTTCCCGAAGTAATGTAAGTATTTATTTTATCTTTTTTTTTAAAAAAATAATATCGATTAATAATAACTTTTTATAATTTAGTTATTATCATGTGGATGTTAGTATAGCTCAGAAATACATTAGAGAAAAAATTAAAAATGGGGAATGGAAGGATGATTGGCCTGAAATGAAACATAAAATTTTAAAGCTTCTTAACATGAATGGGGAATGGAAAAAGGATGATTGGCCTGAAATGAAACAAAAAATTTTAAATCTTCTTAACGATGATATTAATCAAGAAGATAAATTTTAGCTCTTTTTTTTTTATTTTTTATTTTTTTTATTAAAAATTACGTATATTTTATCTTTTATATTAAAATACTATTAAGACTATAAATAAATTTTTATGTATGGCGTGGCATATTTATTATAAACTCGTTTCTCCGCTGAGTGCAGGCGTGGCTATTAAAATGCTACTAAATTTTTATAAGCCATGGAATTTTACTTTTGACAAACACGTCATTGAATCAACGTGTTTTACTTTAAATATCTGGAATACATTTAAAATAACTAAAAATCGGTTTTCTAAAACTTGTAAATTGTAATTCATGTTTGACTAACGACAAAAAAAGTATAAATCTAATCATGTTTCCAAAACCACTAAATGATATAACCACAAAATCCATTAATTCCAATCAAGTTTGTTGATGAAGAAAATATCACTTATTACTTCAGAAGATAAAGTTGGAATTTTTGAGATACAGTATATTTAAATCAACTTGCACAATTCAGTTTATGCATTATCATTCTAATAATGAAGATTAAAAGGAACTTATAATTCAAATTAACCTTGACAATGAAGATTGAAGACTCAAAAAAGTACCTTTCTTGACTGGTAATGGATATAGATGGAAGTAAGTAAGAATTTTAATTTTAAAAAATAAATTACTAGTTATCATTCAAATAGAATTTATTTTATATTTTTATTGTATATTTGAAGCTTTTGAAAAGCGAATTATTCAATAAAAGATCCTGAAAAAATTGGGACGGTATATTTCTTGTGTAGCCAATCTTCTATTAAAAATTCCAAATAAAAACGAATTAAACGATTTGACTGTAAAAGAGCAATTAATCATATTAATCTAATTACTTCATGGATTCAATTGCATATTCTTCAAAGCGCATAAGAAAAATGATGATAATTATAAAAAGAATAGAAAGGTTTTAATATATGCAATGAGCTAATTATTTATTCTATATTCTCAATAAAGGATAACTTTACAATTGAAAAAGACGGAAAAAAAAAATGAACAACAATTCTCGGCCAACCATTTTGCTGCGCTGCGGAGAAATTTGGAGGTCGCTATACGATACTAATATTACAGTTAAATTTTATTATGTCAATTGCTATTGAAATTTATTGCAATATATTGGTTATTTGAATGAGATAATACCATATTATTCTAGAGATCTCATGTAAAATTACGCTACCCATTTTTAATGAATAAAATTTCTTTGGTAAATAATGAATTCGAAGTACAGTTGTTTATGCCTAAAAAAAAATATATTAATCAAAGGAAGCATTTGGTTAGTTGATGGAAAATTTTCATGTATTAATTTGTCCGATTTAAATTGTCATGAATTTTTTGAATCTCATCGAGATAATGATTTTGTTGGTAATAAATTTAGCTTTTCTTGATATATCACGTTTCGAGCATTTATCTTTGTTAAAATACTTCTTAAACGAAAAGATTTGTCGTTAAGTTTTTTTATGAAATAAATTTTCCTTGTATTATTTGTATTATTAAAAATAAACTTCTAGAAAGTGTTTTTTTTTTGAGTTAGACGAAATTGCAAGATTTAGTACATAAAAATGTCTCGCGGCTTTTAGTTATCACCGAATTCAAAAGAAAGCAACGATTATTTTATGCAAAACTAATAAATTATGTAGTAATTTTACGTTTCAATTCCCTAATAATAAACGTATTGAAGGACTTAGAATTAGCAAAAATATGTGACGATTAATAAAACATTTATTGTAAACCAACGAAACACACATCGCCTACTTACATGGTATCCAGACTCTTTTATTTAAATCATATCAAAGGATAGAATTTCATACGTTGTTCGCTCTACAACTGAACCGAGATCTATAGGCTTCTATTGTAAATTTGTAATAATCTCTTTTACCTCCAAATTATCTTCGTTTACGTAACCAACAAAGAATTTAATATAGAATACAAATAATTTATCTGTTATTGAAGGTTAAACACGGAAACTATTTATATATACGTTAATTAACTATATAGACAATTATGGCTAAACTAAAGGCAAAATAAAAGAAGACTAATATAAAAAACTAAAAAATCTTCCTAATCTGGATTAAATGTACTAAAATCGTACCAAAGTAAATATTATTTTCAACAAATTCTATTATAACTTTCCATTTCATCATGTCATTCCTTTCTTTCCAAATAATTTTTGTTTCATCAAAATTTTTATTTATAAAAGAAAAATACTAATATATTCTTTTCTTCCCCAATACATTTGTTTCATTATTTTGTTGATATAGAATTTTATTTTTAATATTATCAGCGCAAAAATATTTGTCATTATATTTAAAATTTTTTCAATATTTTCTTCGTGTAATAATGTTCAAAATTATCAATCAATCACAATCGAATTTTGATGTTCGTTATTTTCGATAAAAAAAGTCTAATATTCTTTTCACAATCTTCACACTTTTTAACGACAATTTTAATTTCTTTCTTCGAATTAATAGGTATACAATCATGTTCCAAATATCATAATTTATTATTTCATATTTTAAATTTTTTTCCATATATCATAGTAATTCTTATTCCTACTACCTTTCTCGATGATGGTTTAACTAATACTACTGATATTAATTCGTCTCCTTTTAAATTTTAATTAAATGATCTTTAATATAATTTTGTTTAATGTTTTATTTTATTTCTAAACTATACTAAATTTTTTAAATAAATTTCTGATAATATTGATCTTAAAGCAACTGATCCGCTAATGATTTCCATCGATCTATCAAATCTTTACATTCCTTTTCAGATAGAATAATTAATATTCTATTCTAGGTATTGTTACCACCGGTTTCCATCATTCGGTAGGTAGTAACAGAAAGAAATATAAGGATCGGTTAATAAAGGACAGGGTAATATAACGATATATGATGAGCGATAAAATGAAAGTGGGTGCGGGTAAACAATAATGAACGATTGTAGACGATAATAAGTGATGTAACAGGTTAAAGATAGATCAGGCAATGTGTATAAAACGATTAGTTATATGAGGAATCAACAATGTATAACAAAAGTTAACAAATGATAATAAACGATATTGATAGTGAACGATAATAAACAATAATAAATAAAAATAAATGTATATGAATTATACGGAAACGGATCAGGTTTATTAACAAATAAAGATATTACTGCCTCTCTCGGCGCTCTGTAATATCCGTATATCTATCGGCAGAAAATAAAACCTAAACTAACTTATCTCCAACAGTCCTTTTTATAACGTGAAGATTTTGGTGCAAATCTGTCTATTCGAACAGTGCCTCCCAGCCAATTGTGGTGATCTGGGCACATTTGTCTATACAGCCGCTTTAGATTCAGCCACTTTCCCACCGCTAAGCTTCCGTTTGTTATCTAATCACTAAATATCTAAAAATAACTAAAAATAACTATACTAAAATNGCTTCCGTTTGTTATCTAATCACTAAATATCTAAAAATAACTAAAAATAACTATACTAAAATAAACAAAAAAAAAAAAAAATAAGAGATATAAATAGAAAAAAAAATAAAAACAATTGGCTTATCCGAATTTTGAGAAGCCATTTATAAAAAAATAAAAAAAATTTATCCTGTGACAGTATGATTAACGTGTTAATAAAAGTCTTGTCATATTGAATTTTTAATTTTGGTTCATGACATGTTTTCGTTCGTTAAAAGTATTAAACCATACTCCAAGTATTCTTATAAATCCTTGGTTTGATCTTGTTTCCGAATTTAATATTAATCGATTTTCTTGAGATTATCCTTATTAATTTTTATATCGTTTAAATCATAAAAGGAATCTGCTTTCTTCAGAATTCTCTCTTAAATTAATTTTATTTTCGGCGATAAAGGTCATGTCATCCATATAAAATAATCCTGGAAATTTTATCGACTTTTCCAAATTAACATTTTCATAAATATTTAAGTTTTGTTTTCCCTTGATATTATATCCAAGATAACTATTTTTAATTTTCGTTAATAAAAGAATTACAAATATTGGAATATCTCTGCTAGTGATAATGCAAGTCCCAAAAAATAAGAAAATTCATGTTGAACATGAGCGATATATGAAAAAAATCTCAGTATTGATCAAATTCAGGTGCCATTAAGCTCCCTAAATTGCAAACTTCGTCTCATCAAAATGTCACGTTGTGTACGTAAGATCACTTGTGATTTTTTAGATGGACGAAACCATATTCATCGGAAATGAAAAATAAGTAAGAAAGACGATGAATTACGTTTGAAAAAGATGTGATTCATTAGGTAACGATAGATGAAATAGTACATTATGCGAAGTTAATATTATTTTTAATAAAGTTTATTATTATATTTTAATAGTTATAAAATATACATTTATATACTAGTAATCACATTTCAATATAATTATTATTTCTTAGTTTCATTTCACGTTCTAAAAAAGAAATTTCTCGTTCTTTTATATCAAGCTCTCTCTCTTTGAGAGATAGAGCTTTCTCCTTATCATCCTATTGTAATAACATTTTAAATTAATAATATGTAAACCTAAAAGGAATTTATTCGCAATATAGAAATGAATAGAAAACATATATACTCACGAAATTTTTATGTATTTTTCTTTTTTTATTTTTCAATTTTCCTTTTCTGGTTCTTTGTTTGGTTCTTCGTATACGTTTTTTAAAATTTCTGGACTTTTCCATAGTTTGTTCACGTGTTTTGAATCAGCCTATTGAAATAATTGAATATTAGTATCATGTTGATATGATAAAAAAAGGTATTAGTTCAATATGATCAGTGAGTGAAGAGGAAATTTATTGACTTAAGGAAGATACATAACCGAATCCTCATTCAGACCTTTACAATAAATTTCACTTTTCAACTCATAATCACATGACTAAAATGGTTTCCTGCTTGGCTGCTTAAATCCGATTGAAAAACCTCACTAAGGCGCAGTCAGTGAGGGAGGAAAAAAAACAGGACATCAGGTAATGAGAAGTACTTCAATTTTCAGACAAAAAAGGGCTTCCTTATTTTTACTGTTTATCCAATTCAAAAACCTCACTAAGGCGCAGTCAGTAAGGAAGGAAAAAGAACGCAACATCTAGGAACAAGAAAGTAACCCATACCATTATTAGCCAGAGTTTATGGAAGCAAAGTACACTCACTTTTTTATTTTTTAATAAGTTTCTTGCTTTTTTAGACTTCTTCGAGTCAACATTGTTTATCAACATGTTTGTTAATAATTTATAAAATGTCCGGTGCCCTTTGGTGGGTTGATGAAATTTTACATTATTGATGGCCCAGCTGTCATAGTCGATTAATGACCATTTATCTGTCTTGTACATTAAAATAAATTTTAGACTTTTCGTCCATATTGAATTGAAACCACGTTCTGTAGTTAAAGTCAGAAAATTTCAGTCTTTAAATGAATGAATGTATTTATCAAAAATATGTGGAATCAACTTACAATAAAAAAAGAATTATTATTAAAACAACACTATCAGAACCCAAATAAAAGTTTAATAAATCTTCGTAAAGTTGTTGATATAAAAGTTTCTGATATGGACGAGGGAAAAGATTTTTTTACTGATATTTATATGAAATTTGTTGTGGGAAGAGATAATTTTTTTTTTACTGATGTGGGAAAAGATCTTTTTTTTACCGATATTTATATGAATTTTATTGTGGGAATTCTTATATTTACTCAAAAGAAACCAGTTATTTTTTTTATAAACTTAATATGGTAATGTGATTAATCGGATCATAAAAAATTCTTTAAATGTGGAAATGATCAAATAGTTTAAAAAATTTTCCACGCCACTTTTGAAAAATTATGTAATTGCTCCAACCAAGTTACGCGATTATTGGATGTATTAGGAATAATTAATCATCGGATCATAAAAAATTTTTTATATGGAAAGAATAAGGACATTTATTAAATCTGCCTAATGAAAACATGAAAACGCGTACTGATTAAACTACTTTTTTTTTACCATACTTATTATCATTGGTGGAACTACAGTATTAGTGTTATGATAATCGTAAAAACTGATAATCATAGTTTTGACGAAAAAAACTACATCGCGTCAATAAAATTAATCCCAGATGTCATTATCATATATACGTCACGCGTGTTAAATAACGAAATTAAACTCAACCCTGCTTTTTTCTATCAATAAAGTATCCATTCAAAATAAAAAAAATCATGGAAATTTGCTAAGAAAATTTGTATTAATACCCGCTTGGGAAATAATAATTTATTTAATGAAATAAATGTTGCCGGTAGCAACTAATACATGAATATGTTATCAAAGATAACAATATGATACTGATAAAAAATTTCTAAGAATTTGGTGGGGTATGGGGGACGCGACTATATGGTATAAGTCTGTCGGGGATCTCCTTGAAATAAGCGGAATTAAAACCTGTGTTTGCATACGTTTTTCATCCACATTCCCGGGATAATAAATTTGACGAATATCAAGAGGAGTATCATTACATGGAGGTGCCAACTCGTTTTGAATAGCAGTTTGAAGTGGCTGTTTCCCGCAAAAAAAAAAAAATTATGTCATATTGGAAGAAATGCTTCCCTGAACATTCACTGATTACATTCCTATGTGAGTAGGAAATGTCCATACCGATATTACTCTCAACTGTCTTATCATTCATAGTGGGTCGTTCAACGCTTTCTCGATAGGGTTTCTATAACAATTACGGTTCCCAAAGATGAAAGTTGACTGAACTTCCACAAGCTTTATATTTTGCTGGAAAAGGGGGAAAGGAGATATGGCGTGATTAACTATGATCGTCTGACGCCAAGAAAGCTTTGAAAGCACATGCAAACGGAATTTTGATTCCTTTTAGTTTAGCGATCACCTCTGCAAGACTCAAAGTGGCTTTACACCTGACGATCTCGGAAATTGCGAAGTCTTCAGTCCTTTATAACATGGTTGTGTCGTCAATATTAACTTATAGGAAAGGTCCTATAATGCAACAAAGCGTTTTTTTACATTTTTTTTCTCGTATTTTATTCGGGGGGAAAAAATGGACAAGGTATTTAATATGCGGGACAAAAAAAATCAATTTAATCGTTCTCACGCATAACTCTTGATCATGTGATGTCTGTTGCACAGCAAAGATATTCTGAACTGCTCCGGGTTGATGATCATTGTTCCGGACTTGAAATTTTTCGCATTAAATTTATTACTTCATTATAATAGACTCATGGTAGATAACAATGCTAATAAATCTGATCTAAGCAAAACACTTTGCTGAATTATATGAATTGCTTTTATATAAAAAGGATGATATAATAGCAATTCAAGAAAAACTCAGTATTATATTAATGGATAAGAAATTTACTATTCTAGAACAATATTATTAACTCGAAATTACAGGATTCCGAAAGGTATCATTAGTAGACTATCTTATAAAAGGAGAATAAACTGAATAGATTATTAGTTTAGGGTAGCACTGTAGCAGGTTACGGCCCATATTCTCGTACGATCAATAAAGCAAAGACGCAATTAGTGCAATTAATTTACCAGACATTACAGCATATTTTTTTCGCATGGTGTTGGTTAGGGATCGAGGGAATTGTGTATGCTAAAATTTCTCTAACAAGTTTTATTATAACAAAACTATTAATTTAATCCAGAACTTGATGAATGCGCAGTAACGCTAGAAACATTTTAGTAAAGACGACATCATGTATAACAAAAAAGATCTCCTTGTTGATCTTTGTATATCAAAGTTTTTTTATTATAATTTTAAGTGGATCCATTGATCAGATTTTCGTGATGTAATCATATTAACGTAATTTCTCCCAAAAGTGTATAACAAAATCGATCCTGCGAATTATATAAAAAGGTAATGTCCCAGTTAGTGAACCCTTTTATCTGCTTGCATAAGTAAAGCAAAAATTAAATGAAAAACAAAACCTACCATTATTAACATCATCGAAATCAACAATCAAATGAACTCTCATTTTCTGCAAAGTTATAATAAGGTAGGTTGGTTTTATTGCTCGGCTAGCTTCTAAAAGAACATCATCACGATGTTAATCAATTTTCTGACTATATAAATGCTTAAAGTCAAAGCAGACATATTATCGTTCCTGATTTTTTCAACATATTTGATAAAACCGTGATCGTCAAACACGCGCCTCTGAGATACAGAGAAAAACATCACATGACTGTAATTTCAGCTGGGACCCCTACCAAAATCTTACTTATATTGGTAAGACTATATTATAAGGCAGTAATTTGATGTTGCAATAAAACAATCGAAATATCTTAACGCCTTAAGCAACAAATTTCAGGCGGATTGGAATGTTGTGAAAATGAATAGTGGTAAGCTTGAATCAGAAATATTGCATGCAAATTATAATTGGGAAATATTATTTGTGGGAGAGGTCTTGCAGAAATGATTCCAGATAGTCTTAATTGATTTGATGTATCGAATTCACTAATCTTTGTTAAATACTTGGTATATATGTCCAAGAAATGTATGAGCAATGAACTGTTCTCCTACAACATAATTACGATTTGCTTGAAGTCTTGGATTTATTATGGATTCAACAATTAACGAAGCAAGATCATCTTTAACAGTTACATTAAGAAAATGAACTGATCTAGAGAATTAAAAGTTGAAGTGACAGTTGAAATATCGAATTGAATCGTTTCAATATCAAAAATACCGACTTAAAACAAAATCCAATTCATTGTTAATTGAGAGGGAGAAGTTTGTTGGAAACGTTCAAAGTCATAATCTATTAACATTTGATGTAAACAATTTCTCGAAAAGATTAATATAATATAAAAAGAGAGAGAGAGAGAGAGACTTTAATAACAACTTTACCTCATTAGAAGTAGCCGGTACTAGTAAACAAACATTATTGGCGCGTCTTTTTTTCAATGAGTATACTATTAACGAAGTCATTATTACATCAACAACGTAGATGTTATAATCGCTAATACCCTGTTCCAATAACGCGAGCCTGGCCTCAAGCTCTGTATTCTTTTGTTCTAGTTCCTCGACTCTAGCATCGCGCATGGCATTCTCTTCAATAATCTGTCTCAATTTTGTATTCTCATCCTTAGCTCAGTATTCTCGGCCTCAAGCTCAGAAATGCGTTGTTCCAATAATTCAAGCTTGGATTCCATTTCGAAATACTTTTTTGCACTGTATGTAACCATTCAAAATAAAAAAAAATCACAAAAATTTGCTAAGAAAATTTGGATTCTGTTGAAATTGCGAGAAGAAAGATCCAGCGCTGGCAGAAGAATCATGGGGAAGAGAGGTGGAAGAGAATTTGGAAGACTTTTTTAACTTGGAAGTAATATTACGAGACAATTCCCACTTAATAAACGCGTCACGGAGGATCTCCTTTGAAATAAGCGGAATTAAAACCTGTGTTTGCATACGTTTTTCGTCCACATTCCCGAGATAATAAATTTGAAGAATATCAAGGGGAGTATTATTATATGGAGGTGCCAACTCGTTTTGAATAGCAGTTTGAAGTGTGCTGTTTCATTTCTGGGAACCGTAATTGTTATAGAAACCCTATCGAGAGAGAAAGCGTTGAACGGCCCACTAGGAATGATAAGACAGTTGAGAGTAATATCAGTATTGGCCATTCCTACTCACATAGGAATGTAATCAGTGAAAGTTCAGGGAAGCATTTCTTCCAATATGACATACTGTACATATTTTTTTTGCGGGAAAGTTGGCTGAACTTCCACAAGCTTTATGTTTTGCTGAAAAATGGGGAAAGGAGATATGGCGTGATTAGCCATTATCGTCTGATTGCCAAGAAAGCTTTGAAAGTACATGCAAACGGAAATTTGATTCCTTTTAGTTTAGCGATCACCCTCGCAAGACTCAAAGTAGCTTTACACCTGACGATCTCGGAAATTGCGAAGTCTTCAGTCCTTCATAACATGGTTTTGTCGTCAATATTAAGTATTAACTTATAGGGAAGGTCCTATATTGTAACAAAGCGTTCTTTTACATTTTTTTTCTTACATTTTATTCGGGGGAAAAAAATGGACAAGGTTAATATACGGGACAAAAAAACCCAATTTCATGCATAACTTTTGATCATGTGATGTCTGTTGCACAGCAAAGATATTCTGAACTGCTCCGGGTTGATGATCATTGTTCCGGACTTGAAATTTTTCGCATTAAATTTATTACTTTATTATAACAATCATGGTAGACTCATGGTAGATAACAATACTAATGAATCTGATCTAAGCAAAACACTTTGCTGAATTATATGAATTGCTTTTACATAAAAAGGATGATATAATAGCAATTCAAGAAAACCTCAGTATTAATGGCAATGCAAATAAAGCAACAATGCATCAAAGCAAGTAAGCGTTTATTGAAAACCACTCGCTGATTCATATGCTTTCAGCAAAAAAGATTTTCACGATAGCTTTTCTCATGTTAAAAATACAACAGTAGAGATGTTTTATAATAAGATCGAATTACATCCAGTTCCTACGGCCCTACAAACCGCACAATACAAACATTCTTTGTCCGCTCTGACATACGCACTTGTTAAGCAGTGTGAAAGAAATAGGTGCACAACAGCATCTCCGTACGTTTCAAGCACGAAAACGGACTTTCGAGGAACAATTTTCATATTTAAGGGGTCAAGACTTTTAAAAATTACATTCACTTTACCCACGCGTTTTCCTTTGAGTTTCTTACGCGGATCTGGACTGGTGCATGGACAAGCAGTACCTGTGATGCCACCCCAGATCTTGTCAGTAACTAAAAGGGGTCCAACCTAATATGATGTAGATAGACCTTAGTCAGGCTGATACACAATGTTATTTATGTAATACAATACATTACCTGTTTAATTTTGGCCAGCGGCACTCCATCGACTCTCTTAATACTTAAAGTTACTTTAAATAATTTAGTGCGTCGTAGCTGGTTGCCATGAATGTCTGTTGCGGCATTTTCCTTTAATTTAGCTGTTTGCCTCCTCAATGTTTCTGCCCATCCTTTCATACACCAAATTTTTTCCCCTTCACTTAGCGGATCTCTTACGACTACCTCGGCGTTAATTGAATTTAACACTACTCTACCACCAGTATATTTTCCAATAACTTCCCGCGGTCCTTTAAATCTCTTCGCTTCTATCGCAAAATTTTTGTGCACATTTTCTGAACTTCCTTGGATGCCAAGACCGATATTGAATACATCTGATGGATGCTGACCACGCATTTTAGCTATTAGAGCGCGTGCAATCGTCTCGAATAAATATGACATTGATAATCCTTCCATAATGTCTTTCAGGCCGATCTCTGAAATTCCACACATCTGTGCAAGACCTATAATGCGAGTCACAATAACCAGTATGTTGTTCTTCGCATCGGGATCATCGCCTTCCAGCGCGGCCTCTGCGTTAACAAGATATGCCATTGATTGATTAAATGATTGCTGTGCACCAACGTTATTTGGGGCGTACCTATCCAATAATTAAAAAAATAAGCCAATCTTTAAAGATAAGATTAAAGGAACAAGGCACCTACCACATATTCAACGCATCAGTAGCTCTCTGTCTCATAGGCGCCGCTAATTTTGCACTCTTTGGCCATGCACTTCCAACCCTCTTATCCCATGGCTGGTATTCTTTATTAAGCCAGATTTGCACGCATGTGCCTGCTACTACGGCAACTTCTTCTGCATTAAAGTTCATAATTTGCATGTATTCCAACACATCTGGGTAAGCCGTCAACCCAATTTTTTCCGCCAGTGCCTTGTTGGTAAGTTGAAAACCGCCATCACCAATAACAGAAAGGTAACCCTGGTCCATGAGCTTTTGAAATTGAACATTCAAGACTCGCTCGCATGTTTTCTTGGCCTTATGGTCCATGTATTTATTCATGCCAAATTTAATGGCACTCTTGATTAGACCACCTGCGTTAATGTCAATGTTATCCATATTAGAATTTAGTAGGATTTGTAAAAGAGGAAGAAATTATAATTATACGCTGTTAAATCAGACAAGTGGGTATTTAAGTCATTCATTATTCTACTAAAAGCATAAATCATGCTGTATCACAAATTAATTAAATTATGCTGTATCACATAATTTATAGGTTTATTATATCACGCATTTATTTTTTAGGTAAAATAATAAGCTACTAATGGCGTAGTTTCTTTTTTGAAACGAATCATTCAAATTACCAAATATATTTTAGCGCTAGCGATCTACTGAAAGTTATATGAGTTGTTGTTATACTTGGCGAGGGATAATCATATCAATATAGGAAAATTTCAACATTGATGGCAATCCCATTCTAACAATGGCACTTTCGAAGCGATAAAGCTTCTACGGATATATCATTTGCGGAATTATATAATTTGTTTTTATACATATTTGGAAGAAGGATATAATGGCAATTCAGGAAGAACTTGGTATTGCTGGTTATACTAATAAGCAATGGCAGAAGAAGTTGATGAAAATACAAGTGCATATCTCCAAAAGTTTGAGAAATTCGAAGATGTTCTAAGTGTATTATTACAGAAAATTTGGTTTATTGGAGAGAGTCTTCCATTATTTCTAAATCTCCCTCTTCAGCAATTGCACTAAATGCCCATGCTTGTCTAGATTAAGTTAATCTACATTTTTTTTGTCGCACAAGATATGTAGTGTGGCTCAGCAAAAAATCTTCCGGACTGCAATTAAACCATAATTTCTTTCTTGATTGGGAAATTATCAATAATAGTTTGAATTTGACTATCAGATAATTGGTCGGAACATAATTATCATGTATAGTGAGTAACGAATTGCCAAAAATCAATAGTTGCGCTATTTTTTCACAACCATGGTGATCCTAGCCCGATAACAATGAATTCTCTGGGATCAGTGCATTTGTAATCCCCATTAACATTAAAACTAATTCACAGTCTAAGTTTTCCTAATATAGAAAAGGATCTATCAGGGCGGTTTTCAGGGGATTTGCTATTGCACCTAACTCATTAATATTTTTTTGGCTAACTAAATTCACATTAGCACCAAAATCGATTAATTCCCTTAGTAGGGGACTACGCAATTCACAAATATCATTTTTCATTATGGCATATAATTTTAAAAAATAAAAATCTTCTATCACTGCTTCGGACTGCCTGGATGACACTTCACATATTTGGATGTTTTGGACATCTTCGCGTGAATCTTCCTTCTCGATTTCTTCTTGGGATGAGCATGCATAACTGCTATCGGTATATCAGAATCAGGTGAGCTGGAATTGGATAAACTGGACTCGGATGAACTCTAGTATTCTGATTCTTGCAATTCTGCAAAGGGACATTTCCATTATTAATTCATGGTAGAAGACACCCAGTTCTTCCACATCTTCTTCTACATCCATAACCCTCATTTCAAAGTTTCTAAATTGGGAGGTATGATCATCCGATTGCTCGATTGCTCCTCCAACTTTTGGATTCGCTCTGAGAGTGCTCTATAGACTGTATAACTTTATGATGTGTGGACATTACATCGAGAAATATTTATTCATGAAACAGGTGAATAGAATGTGGTTCACTGGTTCCTATATTATATAACATTGTTACTATGTTAAGATGTACTAACTACTGAATATATTTAATTAATAATATTTCATGTCTTTATAGTAAGATTCGTTCACAATAATTTTTGGTATATTCAGAAATATTCCTTATAAAAAAATCAGATATAAAGTTTATTTTCACACACTTTCCATCGTTAAATGTTATATGGAATACTGTATATTAATCTAGCTGATGTTTTTCATATATCAAAATCCGAACCATGCTTAAGATTCTCTATATCATGCTATTTGATATCAAAATAAAAATTCGCTATGAAAGGGTCGACTGTACATTTGATGATTAGTTAGTTATTTCTTAAACAACCAAAAAAAATCCGGATAAGTTTTATAATAATATCGATTCAAAACATTTATTTATAGATTATCAAAATTATTTTTATGATATATGACATAAAATCCTTTAAATACCAATTTAATCTGTTTTCTTAACATATTATTAATTGAATTATTTGAATAAAAATATTGTGGTGAAGTGCTATCGCTTATTAAAATGTTTTATTAAGGCTCGACAAAGTTTTTGTATATCGGATTTTCAAAAAAAAATATTGGATAATGTTTTCCCATAATTTGGTATTTAAATTCTTCCTATTCTTTCTATTCCCGGTAAAGATAAAGAATACAGTAAAGTTCTTTAAGTTTATGAACATAAATTATCGTGTTAAACTAATCTAAGATTTTGCGCGTCTCTAAAAATTAGCTAATATCCTTATTGATTGTTATACGGTACTACACATTAAATAATTTTTTTGGGAATAATTTAATTTATATAAATAATATTTTATTTACTGTAAAAAAAATGTTTAATTATTCTTGTAAACAAATCCACGAAAGAATAGAATACATTACAATTAAGTAAAAAAGCCCATTCACTAAATTTATTCATACCCTATAAAAAATAAGTGTCCGGAAATTGTCCAGAATTTGTCCGGAAAATTTGTCTAAATAATTGTCCAGAAAATGTCCAGAAAATGCCAGGTACCATGTCCGGAAATTGTTCCGAAAACACACTCGTTTCCGGACACTCATTTTGTCCAGAATTTGTCCGGAAATTGACCTGAAATATTTTTTCATAAAATTTGGCACAAAAGATGATCAACAGGTGACCATCATTATAATTGCTTTTAACCTAAAGTTTTTTATCATAGATATATAGTATTTTTGCCTGCTCAGCAAATTTAATTAGTATGACAAANTAGATGTGTATAAGAGACAGGTCTTGTGCTTTTTGCATTTTTTTACAAAATTAATTTATCCTTTTTTGGAAGTAGCGTCCAGAATTTGTCCAGAATTTTTTCATGTCCGGAATTTGTCCAGTTCAAATTATCTGAATTTTTACTATGTCCAGAATTTGTCCAGGTTTATCTGTCCGGAATTTGTCCAAAATTTTATACTGGACAAATTCTGGATATATTTTGGACAAAGTCCGGATATGTCAAAATTTTAGGTATCAAATTTGTAGCAAAGAATAGACATTTTCCGGACAATTTCTGGACATGCCAGATTTATTCTGGACAATTTCCGGACATTTTCGTAGACATTTTCCGGACATTTATTTTTTATAGGGATAACGTTTATACATAAATCAATATTCCTTATTGTCCTTTTCGTATAACTTAAAGAACTCCATTTTCAATACCATTCAGGCCATAATTGCAGAAGCACTTGCATTAAATTCAAATGAATTTGTTTTTTTTAATCTTCTTAATTAATTAAATTTAATAAGTTTCTCGCGGTATTTCATATTACAAAAAGATTTGTGTCTTATTTTTTTTTTGGTATCATGATATCGAATGTAACTCTAATACAAAAAGTTGTTTACTAGGCGATGCATTGGTTTTCCTTTTATACTTCAGCCACGTAAGAATTTGAGAAACCGGTAGCTATTCATTATATCTATCAAAATAGTAAAATTAAAAAAGAGTTTTGCATATAAATATCGTTTTTATTATTTATTCTTGCGATTTTTTATTAAAAGATTCTTTTCAATATTTGTTTCTAACAAACTGCTTAAAGAAAAAATGATTCTTAATGGGTTATGAAATAATTCAAATAGTAGATGAAAAACATGATAAAGGCCCACGCGACCCGCACAATGCGCACGACGGAAACAAGTATCTTTAGTATCTTTACCTCTAACGATAAATATGTCGTCACCCGTCACATTTAGCGAAGATGATCATTCATTTAAGGATGAATTGTAAAAGATGCTAAACTGATACTAGAAGTGGTGGAAGTGAAATTACAATAATAATATGCGAGCATGATATCTTTAATATATGTATTAAAACTCAATACTTCATTCACAAAGGTATGGACTAAATATTAAAGATTTTTCTGGACCTATATTATTAAAATTCATTATCGCCCTGGGGCACCAAGAGTCCAAGACCATTGAAAAGGATAACGATAGAGCCTCGTATTTAGTACAAAAAGCAGAAGTATTATTGATAGCTTGTGGTAAATTTATCAGACGAGGACTAATGTTTATGACAAATTTGTTATCAATTTTTATCAATAATTTTTGATACCACAGAGTAAACTGATATTCCAATAACTCCGTGATTTGAAGCAGAAATAGTACCATTCACAATAAATATTATAAAATTCATTAAAGCAAGCAATATGTAAAATCAATAATTTCACGTTTGAATTCACTAATAAGCTTGAAAGACTTAGAATCACATTAGATTCTCTAATATCATGATTAACAACATTTATTGTAAACCGAATGTCCAAATTATCTGATACTGAAAGATAGTTTATTTGAATCATATCAAAGGATAGAATTTCATACGACGTTTACTTTACAACTGAACCAAGATGACGTAATCTTTATCATTAAAATTTCATACGGGACAAATGAATAAGAGTTTTATGATCATATAAATTTAAACACGATGTGTGGATATCACATTGAGAAATTTATCCATGAGAGCGCGGTCAACAAACTATGTATGGACCCATATAAAAATTTACTATTAAAGATTTTTCTGATTAAACTATTGATTAATTTCATTTTATAATAAATTTCTTACTAAATTGATATGTTTTCATACTTCCATAACACCAAATTCTTCCAATTATTTGCATTCAAAATTCTACAAAAGTATTCTAAATTGTCGACTCTTTTATGTGACAGTCAGTTTTTTTCCAAAAAATATCGTTTGTGAATAAACCAACACTTTCGGACGTACCTACATAAGGAAATTTTTTTTTCCTTTTAGCGTTTTTCAAAAGCGAGATTGTTACATTATTCTTCAAGTTATTGGGTATTTATTTAAATTTTATATTTTCTGAATGTTAGTAATTAAAGTTATCGAAGTTTTAAGATTTCAGATTTTTTAACAGA